TGCTCTGTCTCTCTCTGTCTCTCAAAAATAAAACATTAAAAAAAAAAGGTATCAGTGTGAGGAAATCTCTCAGGAAGTAGATGAAAAAGGACGCGCACAGAAAATGTGACGGAAAAGCCAGGAGCCACACCGGAGCCACACAGGAGGCCCAAGGACCAACCTTCAGAACCCCGGAAAGAACAGAGAGTGTGCTTCAGAAAGAAGTTTGAATGCGGATTGTGATGCAGGAGAGGCTCCAGGGCAGACAACGCCGCCGCCTGACGGACGCTCTCACCAGCGGGCAGCAGGGGAACGAAGTCACCCTCACGTGCAGACGCACCACAGGGACACGTCTGGTCATCACAGATGAAGAGAGTGTCCGAACCGCCTTTAAAAGAAATCCATCTGCACCTCGGCAACTTCTTACGAGACACGTCTCCAGAGGCGAGGGAAACAAAAGGAAAAACGAACTACTGGGACCTCGTCTAAATAAAAAGCTTCCGCAGAGCGAAGGAAACAAGCAGCAAAACTAAAAGGCAACCTATGGAATGGGAGAAGATATGTGCAAACGACATATCAGATAAAGGGTTAGTATCCGAAATCTATAAAAAACTTACCAAACTCAACACCCAGAAAACAAATAATCCAGTGAAGAAATGGGCAAAAGGCATGAATAGACACTTCTCCAAAGAAGACATCCAGATGGCCAACCGACACATGAAAACACGCTCAACATCACTTCTCATCAGGGAAATGCAAATCAAAACCACAATGAGATACCACCTCATACCTGTCGGAATGGCTAAAATGAACAAGTCAGGAGACTCTGGATGCTGGCGAGGATGTGGAGAAACGGGAACCCTCTTGCACTGCTGGTGGGAATGCAAACTGGTGAGGCCGCTCTGGAGAACAGTGTGGAGGTTCCTCAAGAAACTAAAAACAGAACCATCCTACGACCCAGCAACTGCACTACTAGGTATTTATCCAAAGGATGCAAACATGCAGATTCAAAGGGGCACACGTTCATAGCAGTGCCATCGACAACAGTCAAATTATGGAAGAGCCCAAATGTCCATCGACTGATGAGTGGATAAAGAAGATGTGGTGTATATATATATATACACACACTATGGAATATTAATTACTTGGCGATCAAAAAGAATGAAATCTTGCCATTTGCAATAATGTGGATGGAACCAGAGTGTATTATGCTAAGCAAGATAAGTCAATCAGAGAAAGACAAATATCACATGATTTCACTCATATGTGCAATTTGAGAAACACAGCAGATGAACATAGGAGAAGGGAAGGAAAAATAAAATAAAAACCAGAGAGGGAGGCAAACCATAAGAGACTCTGGAATATGGAGAACAAACTGGGGTTCCTGGGGGGGAGGTGGCTGGGGGATGGGCTAAATGGTGATGGGCCTCAAGGAGGGCACTTGTTGAGACTAGCACTGGGTGGCGTATGGAAGTGATGGACCACTAAATTCTACTCCTGAAATCATTATTACATTCTATGTTCACCCACTTGGATTGAAATAAAATTAAAAGTTAAAAAAAAAAGAAAGAAATCCATCTGCAGAGTCACAGGAAACATCAACGCAACAGCCTTTTCCAAACACTGGGAGGCAGAAGAAAAATGGCGCTTTCTAGGTGGAAATAATTCGCAGCCTAGATTTTAACCCACTCAGACTTTGAGTCAAGTACGTGGGGAAGGGGGGCGCCTGGGTGGCGCAGTCGGCTAAGCGTCCGACTTCAGCCAGGTCATGATCTCGCGGTCCGTGAGTTCGAGCCCCGCGTCGGGCTCTGGGCTGATGGCTCGGAGCCTGGAGCCTGTTTCCGATTCTGTGTCTCCCTCTCTCTCTGCCCCTCCCCCGTTCATGCTCTGTCTCTCTCTGTCCCAAAAATAAATAAATAAAAAAAAAAAACGTTGAAGTACGTGGGGAAGGAAAGCCATTTTTAGGCAGACAGGGACCCGGAATATATGTTTCCCACACGCCTGTTTGTGGGAAAGTCACTTGAAGGATATGCTCCAGAAAAACAAAGGAATAAACCAAACGAGAGAGAGATGTGGGATGCTTGGAATAATAAATACGTTCCAGAAAAGTTGTCACACTGTGCTGCTTGCTGGGAGGGCTCCCCGTCTGAACTGGAGCAGGACGGAGGGGGCTCTGGAGCGAGGGCAGGGAAGACAGAGGACCCGGGGTTAGGTTAGGAAGAGTAGAAAAGGCACAGTGCTAAATGAAAATCGTACAGTGGAGAAAAAGCCAGTGGGAAACTCTAGGAGACACAAAACATTTGCATTATCATGGTGTTCACTGATACTTTAGTTTTGGGCTTAACAGTTGTGGCTACTTCACAAAAGTGTTACCAGTTTTGGCAATTCAAAAGCCAAACGCTTTTGCAGGGGAGGGGAGCGTCCAGAAGAGAGGAGAACGGCTGTGACAGCAGCCTCGCCTGAGAAGGTGAGCGGTCAGGTGTCACTTGCTGAGGGGCCACGAGATCTGAGCTGGTATAATGTTTTAAAGAATAAAGATAATAATAGGGGGATTAAATTAGTCCTGTAATCATCTATATTAATAAGTTGAGAAGAGGGCAAAAGGAGGGTCTGAGTAGTTTAAATTTTTAATTTTAAAGAGAGAGCATGCACAAGAGGGAGAGGGGCAGAGGGAAAGAGAATCTGAAATCTTGTTTTAAAATATCTATTTATTTTGAGAGAGAGAGAGAGAGACAGCGCGAGTGGCAGAGAGAGAGGGAGAGAGAGAATCCCAAGCAGGCTCTGTGCTGTCAGGGCAGAACCTGACAAGGGGCTCGATCTCACGACCGCGAGATGACAGCCTGAGCTGAAATCAGGAGTGATGCTCAACCGACTGAGCCACCCAGCAGCCCCAGGTCTGAGTAATTTAAACTTCATCTATCGTCGTAAGAATTCCACAGGCGATGTGTGCAGCTGATAACATTGGGAAGTCAAGTTAGATGCCAAGTTTTAGAGGCAAGCATATGCCTACTAGAGGAGAGGACTAAGCGTTTAGAAGTCATTCCCTGTAGGGAACAGCGCTGCGAGCTGAGTAGAAGTAGCGATGCCTCCCCGTGTGCAGGTACCATTTTGATAAAAATTGACAAGTTATTTTGAAAAGAGAAACTGCAAAGACATTCTTCTAGAAAGAGTCAGCACCTGAACGCTGCTGCATAGTCGTTCTGTTGTTGGGTTGAAAGTCGCTTCGCTGCTGGTGGCGGGCGGGCCAGGAGGACTCGGTCAGGGCGGCAGGGGTGTAGGCTGTAGGAAGTGTGGCCTTGCCATTCTTCTCCAGTGATTCTTAAATTGAGTTTCATTTTAGAATGAAAAATCTTATGTAATACAATAAAAGAAGATAAAAATAGAAATTTATGCAAATAGTAATAGGGAAAGTGGAGGTACCATAAAAATGTAATTTCCCCTTCGACTTTTGAAAGCTCATTTATATAGCATCACTGCCCTCTAGCGACATCCGGAGTCACTGCACTCAGCGGGATTGCCCCTCGTACCCCGGTCTGTGGTTCTGACCGTTCATCCAGCCTGCTGGCTTGCTAGCTGTGTCCAGGCATGCTCCTGGGTGCTTGGCAGCTGGAGAGACACGGCCCCTGGTTCTGGAAGAGATGCCCACTTGATAGTGATCTTGCTGGCCACTCAGAACGTTGGACCTTGTGCCTGGTCAGGCAGGATACATGGTCACATTCAGCCACGTGGCACTCACTGCAGATGATTCACTGTTTAAAGAAAATGACACGTATTTCAAATGTTTATGCTAATCTCTCCACTTTGCAATTTATAGGTAGAAACTCTAGTGTGGAATTGGTCACAAAGTCATTTTATAATAGCAATGCACAGTAATAGTAAATTTTTAGTTCTTGCTGAAAAATAGTACAGTTTCTAATCAGTATTTTCATCGCTGAGTGTTTAATTACCAGAATAATTTTCACATTCACACTATCAGTATAAAGGAATGTCCACTAATAAGAAATTTCATGCAGATGCTTAAAACAGACACAAAATAGATTAGATAGTCTAATTCTAGATAGTCTAAGGTTATTTGGGACATCTCTACTTTGTTCAGCATTTTCATTTAACATAATCATCAATGTTGGGTCTTTATAGAAATTTATATAATATATACAATATATTTATGTAATTTATTAATAATTTATATATGTGTATATAATATTTATATCTTACATATAAATATGTAAGATATTTAATATTATATTTATTGTATATTATATTATATTTATCTATAAACAAATAAGTATATAATATATAATAAAATTTTCTGGCCATTACACAGTAACAGTTACTATACTCTTGTGCTGTGAGAAAAAATGGTAAAGCTTGGCAAAATACATGAACCAATCATTGCCAAGCATTGGACAAAAGATGATCCAAAGAAGAGATTTCTGTAAAAGGGAACATCAAACGTGGCTGCACGTTCATCCCTGCTTTCTGTGGGGTGGGGTTGGAGGGGTGTTCAAACGTCAGCGTTGGGAAGCACAGCCCAGACAGAAGACATACTGGGACGAAACGAGGACCCGTGCCTGGGGCTACTGAGACAGCCGGCATTTATCAGATATGATGTGAGAAAAGAGATTACTGGACAGAGCTTGTATGTTCCCCAGGCACTGAGGTGCGATTTCTAAGCTGCACAGAGATGCTGGAAGCCATCCGTGTTGAGGTGTTTGAATTGGCCGACCAGAGTCAACTTGCCAGGCGTTCAAAAAGACCATATACCTTAGGAATAGGGCTGTAAGGGCCACTCTAGACTTACCCCACAAAAGCCTCATTCAAATCTTCATAGGATAAACTGAGGCACCAGTAAATTAACTGCCCGTCAGAATGAACCCCAACATCCCATTAAAGGAAGGCAGCAGCATCCACACTCAACAATACAGCCCTTGCAGTGTCCAGCATAAAATAAAAAAACTACCAGACGTATGGAAAAACAAGAAAGTGTTCTCCCATACCAGGAGAAAATACAGTCAATAGGATAGAAACAGTTAACAGATGCAGATATGACACAAAGTTTGAAATTAGAAGACAACAAATTTAAAACTTAAAACAGCTGTTATAAATACAAGAAAGCATTTTTAGTGGAAAAATTAGTGTACAGGTGGGGAATTTCAACAAAGAAATGGAAACTGTAATAACTAAGTGGAAATTCCAGAACTAAAAAATACAACATCTGGAAATGTTTCACTGGGAGAGCTTAACATCTGAATGCTGAAGAAGTGGTAAGTAACTGTGAATGCAGCTCAACCGAGTATTGAAACCAAAGCACAGGGAGGAGAAAAGACAGAAAAGCAAAATGAACAGAACTTCAACGACACGTGGGGCCGAATCAAGTGGCCTAACCCAAGGGAAATAGGAGTCTCGGGACAGAGGCAAGAGAGGGAGGCAGAGATACGTATATTTGAAGATAGAAGAGTTTAATTTTTTTCCGAATTGAGTTAAAAACATCAAGCCAGAGATCCAAGATTTTCAATGACTCCAAGCAGGATAAACACAAAGAAAACCACAGCTATTTTCACCGTAGTCCCATTGCTGCCGGCCAAAGGCAAGAAATCATCGGAGAGAAGTCGGAAGGCAAACGGGTGCGTTGTGCGTAGGAAAGCAAGGGTGGGACTGCAGACTTCTCAGCAGAAACAACGTGGACTGCCTAACATTTTAAGGGTTAAAAAAGAAAAGAAACCTGTCAATCTAGAATTCCTGTAAGAAGAGCCTGCAAAAAATGAAGGCAAAATCAGGGCATAAGATAAGCTAAAAGTAAGGTGGGTAATCCATTCCTCGAAGAGATGCCAGAGGAAATTCTTCAGGCTCAAGGAAGATACAAGGCGGAAACGTGGTTGAAGAAGCCGGGAGAACACCGAGGTGGTGAATGCAAATGACTCTCCCCCTCAGTTCTTCAATTCTTTAAAAGGTTTTGCCTTTTTAAAACGGAAGTGCATCGCGTGGTGGGATTCTTAGTAAGTATGCAAGTAAAGTGCGTGACCGTGAGAACACAAGTGACAGGAACGAGGCACGTCACAGAATACTGTTCAGGGGTTTCCCACCGCCTGTGAAATGATACATTAACCCAAGCTACACTGTTAGTTAAGGATGTACGTTGTAATCTCTTGAGCAAGTACTGAAACAATAGTAAACAGAAGTATAAGTAAAAATCCAACGGGGGAGACAAAATGGAATACTGAAAGGTCATTCACTTAGCCCAAATGAGGGGGGAAAGCAACAACACGCGGGACAAACGAAAGCAAATGGAAGATTCCGCCCCAACCACACCGTGTATGTACCAAGCGGAAGTGAGCCGTCACTCCAGTTAAAGAGCAGGGTTTATCCCACGGAATACAGGAAGCGTCTGAGACCCAGCCAGAGGCCACGCTCTTCAAAAATAAAGACTCAGGTGGCCCGTGGAGGGAGTCTGCCCAGGAACTGTGTGTATTTCTCTGGGAATAAATACAGTGCCCCCCGAGCTGGGTGTTGGGGATCTGGTCCCCTCCAACACGGGATCCCCCTCCCGGGGGCGATGTCTCCGTGTGTGCGGTGTTACCTATGCACAAGCTATGGCAGGGCCTGGGTAGTAAACGTTTCGGGAGAGGGTCTGGCATCCTTGACAACGTTTTGAGTCGAGACCGTACCGGACTGAGCTCCCGGCCCAGAGCGGAGGCCCTCTGAGACCAGCACACGGGCGCGCAGGGAGCGGAGCCCCGTTGCTCCCGGCGGGGCTCGGCCCTGCTAGGAGGGGCTCGCTGTGCCCACCTTTTGCTGCTCCCTTCACAGATTCGTCACTTAACACGCCGGTTCGTGGTTCTGTGGGTTGAGTGCGCTCAGCCAGTTAGCTGCGGTTTGGGGGCTCGCACGAGGCTACTCTGGATGCCCCCAGGACTTGTTCCCCTCTCTGCACAGCACCTGTCTCCCCGAAGAGCCCTCCTGCCCTCGTACTTCTCTGTCCCCAGGGTGGAGACTCAACTGGTGGCCGAGATGCTGAGCACCACAGCCTGCATCCAGGGCAGGAGCATCCTGGAGAACCTGAAGGGCAGAAAGCAGCTGCGCCTGGCGGCCGCGAGGTCCTTCATGGAGAGCGCCAGGTGCGCCATGCCGGGCTAAGTGGCCAGTGTGACCGCGTGGGCTGTGGGCTTGGCGTGCGTGCCGCCTGTGGGAGGTAGACGGACCGCAGTGCCGTGGGGTGAAGGGTACGGGGCTCAGTGGGGACTGCCACTAGGGCTGGCCCTCCTTTGTGACCCTGTGGCCGGGGCCATCTCGCCCCTTGCGGTCACATCCACTCCGCCCCGTGTTCGAGAGGCCCTCGGGCACGAGTGGGTCGCCACAGGCCACATGGCCATCGGGGGGAGGGAGCGCCCGCGTCCGGGGTGCTCCGTGGCGCCCAGCCGCGCCCGCTCCCCGGTAAATCGAGAAGCTTCCCATGTCGCTCCTGCGTCGTTGGTGTCTACGCCGCTCCAGCCCAGGGATTCCCTTTCAGGTTCGGGGGCATTGCGGGGAGCAGCGCCCTGGTGATGCTGGCTGTGAGGCAGTGCTGGAACACCTGGCTCCCGCTCCTGTCCTCCGCGGCCAACAGGAGGAAAGCCAAAACTGTCGTACAGAGGCTCATCGGCATCATCAATAAGACAGAAGCGGAGAAACAGGTGTGCCATGTGGGGCCACGGCGGGGCAGGCGTCCTCCGGAAAGGGAGGGCGAGATCCCCAGGGAAGACGGACCCCGGGGAGCCGTGGAAACCAGGAACACAAGGGCCAGCAGAGGAGGGGGCCCAGAGGACAATGACGTCCCTGAAACCCGGCAGGGCAGACACGCAGACCTCTCTTTCCTCCTTCCTCCCCTCCAAGGGGACACTGACCGTTCCCCAGAAAGCCCCAGCAGGGGAGGGGAAAGGACAGAACGGTAGATTCAGATGGCCGAGGAAAACCACAGAAACCTCTGGGCCAGAGCCAAAGTCTCGGCCTGACTCCACCCCACAGGCGCCCCGTCGCCAGGGCGTGTGTGGTCTTGGTAAGTCACCACCCGCGGCTGGCCCCCTCTGTTCACCTGGGCGCAGACCCAGCTTCAGAGGGCATGCGGAGGTCAGTGAGGGCTGTCCCGCCTGCTGACCACGTGTGTCCTGTGCCCCAGGACTCGGCTTCCCATGGGGACTCCAGCACCTTTCCCGTCCACCCAAGAAGGCCAGGCTCAGACCTAAACCTGCAGTTTTCAGCAGGGCCTTTTTCTAAGGGAAGGTCTGCAGGTCAAAGGCTTTGGCAGACAGAGGTCTGTGGTCAGACGGCCTAGGGTAGAGCCTGTGGGCGGAGCTTCGTGGGCCCTCAGTCCGGGCCCCAGCAGAGCCCTCGGAGGCCGGCGGCCAGACGAGCTGTGGGAGGTTTGGGGGGACAGGACGAGCTGCGGGAGGTTTGGGGGGACAGGACGAGCTGGGGGAGGTTTGGGGGGACAGGACGAGATGGGGGAGCCGCCCTCTGTGCTGATTCCAGAGCCAGGCCTGTGGCAGGAGGGCCCACAGCTGTGCGTAAAATCCCCAAAACTGTCTCTGGTCGGGGAGACTGCTGTTCAAGAGACAGCAAGAAGAAAATTGAAAATCAGAGCCTCATAGAAGAAATTGGCTATGCTTCCTATTTTCTTACAAAGATATTTATGACCTCTGATGGCCTAAGCCAGGTGTGGGCAACCCCCGCCCAGGGGCCAAATCTAGCCTGTCTCCTATATTTGTAAATAAAGTTTTATTGGGACGCAGCCATGCCTGATCATTTACATATTGTCTGTGGCTTGGCTACAACAGCAGAAGGGAGTAATTGTGACAGAGACCATGTGACCCACAAAGCCAGAAGTACTTACTCTCTGGCACTTTACAGAAAAAATTTGCCCAGCCCGGGTCTAGACATCTATAAAACTCACCTAAAGTTCAGTTCTTTCCAATGGGCTTTTTAAAAAGTTGTGATCAAATATACATAATATAATTACCATTTTAACCATCCAGAAGTATATAATTCAGTGACCTTAACTATATTCAGTGTTTTATGGCCATCACCAGGGTCTGTGCCTGCAACTTTTTCATCATCCCCAACAAGAGCCGTCCCCATGGAACAACAACCCCACTCTCATCTCTATGAATGGGAAGACTCTAGGTTCCTCACTGAACAGGAATCACACAGCGTTTGTCCTTCTGTGTCCGGTTTATTTCACTCGGCATAGTGTCATCAAGGTTCATGTAGCAGGTGTCAGCATTTCCTTCTTTTTTATGACCGAACGATACTCTGTTGTGTGGATGGACACCATTTTGTTTATCCACTCATCTGTTGCTGAGCATGATGGCTTCATCCTTTCCACTGTTGTGAATAGTGCGGCTACACATGAGTGTGCAAATATATTTATGTCCCTGCTGTCAGTTCTTTCGAGTCTACACCTAGGAGTAGAATTGCTGGGTTATATGGTACTTCTGTGTTTAACCTTTGAAGGAAATGCAAAGCTATTTTCCAAAGCAGCTGCTCCATTATACATACCCACCAGCAGCGTTCCAATTTCTGCACATCCTGTCAACACTCGCTTCCGATTAAAAAAAAAAATTATACCCATCTCAGTAGGTGTGAAGAGATACTTCATTGTGATTTTGATTTGTATTTCCCTGATGACAAATGATTTTGAGCATCTTTTCATGTGCTTATTAGTTATCTGCATATTTTCTTTGGAGAAATGTCTGTTCAAGTCCTTTGCCCATTTTTGGATTTTTGTTGTTGTTGTTGAATTGCAAGAGTTCTCTATATATTCTGGATATTAATTCTTTATCAAACATCAGATTTGCAGATTTTTTTTCTCCCATTCATTTGATTGCCTTTTCACTCCCTTGATGGTATCCTTTGACACACAAAAGTTCTTAATCTTGACAAAGTTCAACTATATTTTTCTTTTTGCCTATGTTTTTGGTGTCACATCCATGGAGTCATTGCCAAATCCAATGTCATGAAGAATTTTTCCAATGTTTTCTTTACGAGTTTTATAGATTTAGCTCCTATGTTTCAGGTTTCCCCCACCCTCACTTTGAGTTAATTTTAGTATGTGGTGTAAGATAGGAGGACAGTTTTATTTCTTTGCCTGTGAAAATCAAGTTTTCCCAGTACCAGTTTTTTTTTTTTTAATGTTTATTTAGTTTAGAGAGAGACAGAGTATGAGCAGGGGAGGGGCAGAGAGAGAGGAAGACACAGAATCCGAAGCAGGCTCTGGGCTCCGAGCTGTCAGCACAGAGCCTGACACAGGGCTCGAACTCACGAACGTTGAGATCATGACCTGAGTCGAAGTCGGACACTTAATCGATTGAGCCACCCAGGTGCCCCACCCAGCACCAGTTGCTGAAGAGTGTTCTTTGCCCGTTGTATGATCTTAGTGTCTTTGTCAAAAGTCATTCACCATATATCTGAGAATTTATTTCTGGGCTCTCTGTTTTATTCCATTGGTCTATATGTCTGTCCTTGTGCCAGGATCACACTGCTTCGATTCCTGTAGCTTTGTGGTAAATTTTGCAGTCAAGAATTGTGAGCCTTCCCACTTTATTAATCTTTTTTGAGGTTGTTTTGGCTACTTGGAGCCCCTTGCAATTCCACATGAATTTGAGGTTTGGCTTTTCCGTTTCTTTGGAGAAGGGTGTTGGGATTTTGAGGGATTGTATTGAATCTATCGATCACTTTGGGTGCTATGGACAGTTTAGCATTTTTCCATCCATGAACAAGTGATGTCTTCCCATTCATACAGACCTTGTTCACTTTCTTTCAGCAAAATGTTTTCATAGTTTTCAACATATATGTCTTTTACCTCTTTGCAAGCATTAAATTCTCTTAGGTGATGGTATAAATGAAATTGCTTTTTGTCTCAGCTCAGGTGGCCATAACAAAATGCTGGGTGCCTGGAAGGCTTAAGCAGTGGAAATTTGTTTCTTACTCTTCTGGAGTCTGGAAGGAAGTCCAAGATCAGGGAGCCAGTAAGGCCAGGCCCTTGTCCCGTCTTGTATACATCTGCCTTCTTGCTCTCTCCTCGTTTGGGGGCGTGTGGAGATCAGCAAGGTCTCTGGTGTCTCATCTTATAAGGACACTAACACCATCATGAGGACCCTACGTCATGACCTCATCTAATCCTAATCACCTCCCAAGAACCTCATCTCCAAATATCAGCGCACTGGGGATTAGGGCTTCTGCATGGGAATTTGGTAGAGGAGGGACACAGCTAAGTCCACAGCACTTCCTGGTTTTGTTTTCAGACTGATCACTGCGGGTACATAGAAAAACAACTGACTGTTGTATTGTTGTGTCCTGCAACTTTGCTGCATTCAGTTATTTGCTCTAGTGGTTTTCTTGGGGATTCTTTGGGATTTTCTATGCCTAGGATCGTATCATCTGTGAATAGGGACAGTTTTACCTCTTCCTTTCCTGTTTGGCTGGCTTTTATCCTGTTTTCTGTCTATTACTCTGGCTAGAACGTCCAGTAAAATGCTGAAACTCCCTCATCTTTTTCCCGATTTTAGCAGGAAGCTTCAGTTTTTCACTGTTGAGCACAACGTCAGCTATGGGTTGTTCACAAATACCTTTTATATGTTGACCAATTTTCCTGTTATTCCTAGTTTTCTGAGATTTTATGATGAAAAGTTGTTGGATTTTGTCAGATACCTTTTCTCCATCGGTTGAGATTATCGTGTGGTTTTTCTCCTTCGTTCTGTTAATGTGCTGGATTAATTACACTGATCGGTCTTACGTGGGACCACCCTTGTATTCCTGGGAATACACGTGGTCATGGTGAATCATATTTTCACTACGCTGTGGGATTTGATTGGTTAAATTTTGTTGAGCATTTTTGCATCTATAGTCATAGAGTATTGTCTTGGTCTGTAATTTTCTTGTGATGTCTCTGTCTGGACTTGCTATCAAAGTAACGTTGGTGTCAGAATCGCGTCAGAATCGGCACGGAAGCATTTCCTCCTCTTCGGTTTTTGGAAGTTGAGGAGGGTTGCTGCCAATTGTTCACATGTTTGGTAGAAGCCACCCATGAGCCTTGCGTCCAGGACTTGTCTTTATTGGGAGATTTCTGATTACTGATTCAGTCTCTACTTGTTTAAGTTTGTTGACGTTTCCCATTTCCTATTGAGTTAGCTTGGGCAATTATGTGTTTTAAAGTATTTTTCCATTTCTTCTAGATCTAATGTGTCGGTATGCGCGAGGCCACAGCCTTCTCTTAGAATCCTTTTTATCTCTCCAAGGTCATAATAGTCCTACTTTCACATCTGATTTTATTTTTTTTTATTTAAAAAAATGTTTTAACATTTATTCTTGAGAGAGATAGAGAGAGAACGCGTGCACACGCGCATGAGTCGGGGAGGGGCAAAGAGAGACGGAGACGCAGAATCCGAAGTAGGCTCCAGGCTCCGACCGAGCTGTCAGCACAGAGTCAGGCGTGGGGCTCAAACCCGTGAACCGTGAGATCATGACCTGAGCTGAAGTCGGACGCTCAACCGACTGAGCCACCCAGGCGCCCCTAGAAGTCCTTTCTAATGTGCTTTTGGTCCCACTGATTTCAAGCTCTGACACTGATTTGGATGTGTTGCGTCATTAAAAAGGGTGCAGGCTGCGTGAGGCAGTCCCTGTGCATGTTCTCGTGTGCACTGGGGGGCCTTTCCTTAGGGGTGAGATGTGACTTCAGTGTTTGCGGCTTAGTAGTTCAGGAACTTGGCTTCCGTTTCTGTATTCAGATACTGAGGCAAATAAAAATCAAAATGGTGACAGAATAAATTGCACCTTTGCGATATCTGCACGGTTTCTTTGTTTTCACCTTAGGGAAATGGAAAAACACTGCTTCTGCACCAGTGGCCTACAGCGGACTTCCAAAGCGGAGGGACTCCCGAAGGGCATTTTCTCCCAGGTTTGTAGGCACGAGACGCGGCCGCAGCACAGAGAAAGGGAGGTGCCGCGTGCTGTTATTCCTTGCACTAACGCACAGACCGCTTCATCACGACAGTAACGGCTCCTGTGTGACGGGCACAGAGTGCTGTTTGTGAACAACTTCCTGGAACCTGCACTTTGCGCGCAGGGAAACCGAAGCCCGGAAGGCCCCCTCGTCTGGCCCCTGGGTTCAGGGCAGGGCTCTGGGCGGGTGGTGGCCGTCTCTGTGGTGGCCGCCGGGGGGCCCAGCCTCTGGGTCACTCTGGCAGGTAAGTCGTGTTCTTGTACTTCCAAAGCCAACGTAGAGATGGGCTCCTGCAAAGCAAAAGCAAAACACAAACTGAACTTAGAACAGTAAGACCGTATTTAAGAATTCATGTTTAAAGAAAGAAAATGATTAACTGCTAAAACATCATCATTCCTGTTACTGTAAGGTCTCGGTGTGTACTGGGGGCGTAAATGCTGTGGGCTGGGGCAGCGGGCCCCCTCCCCGAGTACTGCGTGTCTGTTGGGAGATAAAGTTGATTTAAGATAATGAGCAGACAGTAGGACTGTGTGTGACTGAAGAGTGAGTTGAGCACCACGCTCCAGACGGCAGTCCGGGCCGTGGATCGAGGCTCCTGGCGGAGTATGGCTTGGGGGGGGGGGGGGGGG